GATAGAGCCTCAAGCTGTCCCCCTGGGTAGAGTGCGGTGGCATCACAGCTCACAGCAACCTCCAACTCCTGGGCTCAAGCTAGTCTCCTGCCTCTGCCTCCCAAGTAGCTGGGACCACAGGCACCCACCACAATGCCTGGCTATTGTTTTTGGTTGCAGCCATCGTTGTTTGGCAGGCCTGGGCTGGATTTGAACCCACCACCTTAGGTGTATGTGGCTGGCGCCTTAGCCACTTGAGCCACAGGTGCTGAGCCACAACCTCCAACTCTTGGGCTTAGCTGATTCTCTTGCCTCAGCCTCCTCAGTAGCTGGGACTATAGGCGCCTGCCACAAGTTGGCTATTTTCTGTTGCAGTTTGGCTGGGGCTGGGTTCAAACCTGCCACCCTTGTTATATAGGGCCGGCACCCTACTCACTGAGCCACAGGCACTGCCTAGCTCCTATCAATTCTATCTCTAAAAAAGGCCTTGAATTAGTCTCTTCTTCATCCCCACTGCTACTGTCATGAATCCAGTCATATTCTGTTCCCACTTGGATCAATGCAGGAAGCTCTCTCACTAGTCTCCCTCCCATCTTTCCCACCTCCAGTCTACCCAAAAACCTTAAATGATGTGCCTAGAACCCAGGACCTTGAGGATCTGAGAACTCCAAATGAAAGCTATAAAAACTGTATAATCTGTATGAGGCAGAAAGGAAGAATTATCTCTACTAACAATTTGTAGTGGTAGATCAACTTTCTGTGCACATGCAAATTATATGCACATTTGCATCTTTTTTTTTTTTTTTTGGAGACAGTCTCACTCTGTTGCCCAGGCTAGAGTGTTGTGGCATCAGGTTAGCTCACAGCAACCTCAAATTCCTGGGTTCAAGTAATCCTCCTTCTTCAGCCTCACAAGTAACTGGGACAACAGGTGCCTGCCACAACACCTGGCTGATTTTTTTTTCTTGGCCCCTATATAAATTAGAAATACCTGGTTAATTTTATTGTATTTTTAAAATAGGTATAAAATTTAAGATATAAGTAAGAAAAGCATATTACAATTTAGTTAAAAGGAAGATTTGGTCACTCCACTGTTCCTTTTAAAAAAAATCAAGCTTGGGCGGCGCCTGTGGCACAAAGGGGTAGGGCGTGGGCCCCATATGCTGGAGGTGGTGGGTTCAAACCCAGTCCCGGCCAAAAGCTGCAAAAAAAAAAAAAAAAAAAAAATCAAGCTTCAGGCGGTGCCTGTGGCTCAAAGGAGTAGGGCACCGGCCCCATATACCAGAAGTGGTGGGTTCAAACCTGGCCCAGGCGAAGAAAAAAAAAATCAAGCTTCACAGATACAAAGCTTAGTGCTTAACCCCAACTCACTTTCTCCCTCCCAAGAGGTAACTAACATCCTAAAGTTGGTATCATTCCCAAGCATGTTTACATACTTTTTTTTTTTTTTTTGAGACAGAGCCTCAAGCTATCGCCGTGGGTCGAGTGCTGTAGCATCACAGTTCACAGCAACCTCCACCTCCTGGGCTTAAGCAATTCTCTTGCCTCAGCCTCCCACGTCGCTGGGACTACAGGCACCTGCCACAACACCCGCCTATTTTTTGGTTGTAGTTGTTGTTGTTTGGTAGGCCGGGGCCAGAGTCCATCCCGCCAGCTCTGGTGTATGTGGCTGGCACCTTAGCCAGTTGAGCTACAGGCGCTGAGCCATGTTTACATACTTTTCCACATTTGTTTCCATAAATCCTATGAGGTATTGGTTGGTGATTTTAAAACGTACATATTAATAGATGTTGTCTACTGCACATAACAGTGTGCAATAATTTGCATTTAACATTATGGGTTTTTTAACACTCCCAAAGCTTCATTTTATTTATTTATATTTTAGAAATATGAGCTCGGTGCCTGTGGCTCAAGCGGCTAAGGCACCAGCCTCATACACCTGAGCTGGCAGGTTCGAATCCAGCCTGGGCCCGCCAAGCAACAATGACGGCTGCAACCAAAAAACAGCCAGGCATCGTGGTGGGCGCCTGTAGTCCCAGCTACTTGGGAGGCGGAGGCAGGAGAATTGCTTGAGCCCAGGAGTTGGAGATTGCTGTGAGGTGTGATGTTACAGCACTCTACCCAGGGCGACAGCTTGAGGCTCTGTCTCAAAAAAAAAAAAAGAAAAGAAAAGAAATATGATCTCACTCTGTAGCCTAGTCTAGACCGTAGTGGTGCAATCACAGCTCACTGCAGTTGGTGAACTCCTGGGCTCAACCGATCCTCCTGCTTCAGCCTGCTGAGTAGCCAGGACTACAGGTGCAGATCACCTCCCCCAGCTAATTTCTTAAGTATTTTTTTTTTTAAAGTTTATTTTTATTTATTATTATTATTATTTTTTTTTTTTGAGACAGAGCCTCAAGCTGTCCCCCTGGGCAGAGTGCCGTGGCATCACAGCTCACAGCAACCTCCAACTCCTGGGCTCAAGCGAGACTCCTGC